ATCAAGTTAATCACACAACTTCTTTCCTTCATTTATATACATGTGTGGAATCGACTAGACATTGGATTAAAATACAATATGAGATAATGTACATTCAGAAATAATAGTACGAGTGTTATTAATCCATTGCAATTAGATGGGAAATACGACGAATCTCAGAAGGGACATCAGTTCCTTCAAGGTTGCAGATACGCCTTGCTGATGAGTGCCAACTAGCACGAAACCTAGGTCCAAGGCTTCCTGCCGATTGCCTCCAACCATCTAATACCAACAATTCACAGTGCACCGTAATGGCGAGCCACCTAGCATGGTGGCCACATTGCAAACATGACTGATAGAATTCAGTCTGCACCGAAGATAGGACTAGACGCATTACACTAGTGACTGACTAGTGTGCAATCAAAAATACGACGATTGTTTTTGTAGTCATAATAAGTTGATTGTTAGAATGTGTTTGAATGGAAATAGATTATTTATTATCCTCTTCTGATTTGACTGGTGGCAATGATACGAGTGTTATTAATCCATTGCAATTAGATGGGAAATACGACGAGTGCTTTTTACAGTCATAATAAGTTGATTGTTAGAATGTTATGATGTGCTTGAATGGAAATAGAATTTTAAGACTATTTATCATCTTCTTCTGATTTGACTGGCAATGACTGTGAGGTCAACTACATAGGTCAAACTAGTAGGTCAGGGGTAGTCAGATTGTCAGAACATAAGAATTTAGCTAAGATAAGAATGGTTGACCTCACTCGAGAAGATAAGTAATTTAGAAAAAAGCTCGGCAATCGCAATGCATGCATTAACACACAACCACACAATAGGGTGGGAGAGGGTTAAAATTCTAAAAAGTAATCTAGGTAGGTGGAGAGAGAGGTTGATTACTGAATCTTTGTTCATCGAATCTACACCCAACACATGCAACAGAAGTGACTCAATGCAAATACCAGAAATATGGAAGATATTATTGCCGCCAGTCAAATCAGAAGAAGATGATAAATAGTCTTAAAATTCTATTTCCATTCAAGCACATCATAACATTCTAACAATCAACTTATTATGACTGTAAAAAGCACTCGTCGTATTTCCCATCTAATTGCAATGGATTAATAACACTCGTATCATTGCCACCAGTCAAATCAGAAGAGGATAATAAATAATCTATTTCCATTCAAACACATTCTAACAATCAACTTATTATGACTATAAAAACACTCGTCGTATTTCCCATCTAATTGCAATGGATTAATAACACTCGTACTATTATTTCTGAATGTACATTATCTCATATTGAATTTTAATCCAATATCTAGTCGATTCCACACATGTATATAAATGAAGGAAAGAAGTTGTGTGAGTAACTTGATATGATTATGAGCAATAGTTTGTGCTCGAAACGTCATCAGTAAATATTACTGTATAACTTCTTGTTCAGGAATCTCCATTACCTCTGTTTTCTCAATGTTCACCTGAAGGAAGTCCTATCTTCTGTGGATGCTTCTTCTGCCAACTTGTTGCTTTTCGCTAGCACATCTTCCAGTTTGTGAGAAATCAGAAGCGTTTATTCCACAAATCCGGACATGAAACAGCCTCTTTTGGACGACTCTTCGTCATGTTGTTTAAATTTGAGCCGATCACCAGTCAGTGAGAACAAGTTTCTTCTCTTACCTAGACGGATTTTACTGTGTGACTACAAATGTGTAAATATGATGCCTTTTTTTTCCTTAAGGAAATAAAAGGTTCGTTACCAGTCCGTCCTTATCTTCTGACGTTACAATATCAAAATCTGAAACCGACAGGTGACAGTGAAACATCATTTACCGGCATCGATTGGCAGCAACTCTGAAGCCGTCCAAGTACATACTTCATAAAATCTTATCAATTATTCATTCACTGCTAAATATCGAAATAAGATATTGTAGTAGTAAATAATTCCCCACAAAATTATTGACCACATTGGCATTCATCACTAAAAATTGGATGCTGACGCTCACTGTTTAAGTCACCTTGTTTACCTGAAGGCTTCCGGTCAAGCATCCATGACATCTGGTACTCCGTCGTGTCACGTTCGTGCACGATCACTAGCTGGCTAAGCAATCAGCTCGCACTCCAATTTGCTCCCGTAAGATATATCTCGTAATGTGGACGATTAATTGTGGTGTTTTGTTTTGCCTTTGGTCCGCATACAGAACGGAACGAATACTATAGAAGTTGTCGGTATTAGATCTTGCGTTAGTATACTTCACACAATCCACGAACGTCAATACCGTCAGCCTCTAAAATATTAATTATGTAACCGCATGAGCCTGGCAACTCTGTATTAAGCGTCGTAGATAAGGTGTTTCATAAATCATTGGCCCGACCAATGGTATTGATCATCTCCTAAATAAAAACAGCTTCGTTCATTTCAAGTACAAAAGAAATTTAGTGAAGACCCTCACTCGGCCACAGAGTTAGTTACAGCTATATGCTCAGACGAAGTAATTGAAGATGAATTAAGCATTGTATATGATACTTTGATTGATCGGAAATAGCTATCCCGACAAATAGCTATCAAGAAACACATGACAAAGAAAGCGGCGGAAAAGAACTACTCACTATCCGTCCGTGAACAAGAAGCCACTTTATATACGACTACACTTCAAGGGCGATCGATATACCAAGCGAGATAATTACGAAGAAATTAAGAAAATCAATTCAAAGAACTTTTAATGCTGGTGGCGAAATACACGTCTTATTCTCTACACAACCGATGGTGCTACCTCGACTGAAAGATGAAGTATCTAGACTAGCTGGCCACTTGAAATTGTATCTACCAATTCAACTGCAACTGTGCTTGTGCTGGTGGAGCGAGTTATATTGGCCTGAAAGAAGAAATGACAAAATCACCATTGAAGCACCGAATGCTCCAAACACCAGAGGCTATTGCAATTCACCTCAAACAACCAGCCCCTACTACTGCCCTGACTGGCCTTCAGTAGAGACTATAAATTCATGAATTTGTAATAATATCTTTCCTAATTCAACTGACATTCAGTGTGTATTGTTATGTTGATGCTATTGAACTGTAATCCACTGGTATTATTATTATTAAGTCTAATGCAAACTACCTCGGTCTAGTTCTATCTTCCGACTTTACTTGGACATCTCATATCCTAACTATTTCTAAGAAATTGTTCTGTCTAACCTACTACATTAAGAAACTTAGACAATCTGGAATCACCCAACCTCTACTTTCACAATTTGTCAACTCTCGTATCTTACCTATTCTACTTTACTGCTCCCCGTTAGTCTTTCCTCGGCTACTGAAAAAGGACTATACCATCCTGAGAGGGATGTTGAAGGTAGTCAGTAGGACTAGTGTTGTAAAACTAAGTCAGCTCGTCACTACTTTAGTTGATAGGCATCTAAATACATGCGAAAAATGGTCAAAAACCATACTCTACGACCCACAACACCCCCTCTATTCCCAACTCTCGCCTTGTATCTCATCAAGTAGGACCAGAAATCAGTATAAAATAATCTATGCTCGTACAACCAAGTACAGGAACTCAACGATACCATACTTGGCCCGTGTTCTAAGCGACAGAGACAATGTTAAGCGTGAAACTTATGACTTGCTCTGTTGTTAATGACATAATTTTAGGCTCTTTTATTTCTCTCTTATTTTGTATTCTATAGTGAACTCCTTCTTAAACATACTTAGCTACCTAAATTATTAACATTGGCTTACTTTTGTACTTCACTGTGTTTCTTCTTCGTGTATGTACTGGTTTCGACTACATTAACACTATGAGTAGTACAAAATTGTCCTGTCATTAATCATGTAATTATTCGTTTTTGTGGTTGCTGTTGTTGTTTTTTTTGTTCGGCAATATTAACTGACAATCACTGGTTGTGAACGCCATTATTATCACCATCTTAAAATTTTCTATCATGCAGGATTACTCACACTACCACTACAAACGCCGCATTAGACCTGACAATAAAAAACAAAACAACAACCCTGAAATGTTGCTTCATGATTGTTTAGAGTTACTTCAACCAAATTAACTGATCATCTTGGCGATAAACATTCTTAAATATCATTTCATAACTTCTTGTATGACTACAGCTTTACTGTCACCATGCATAATCATATCACAGCTTCCACTACCCAATACTGAGATTTTATTATGTGCGGTTTATTTTCCCTTCTACTTCTTCGTATTTTTTTGCATTTAAAAAAAATTATTTTTGTGTTTTTTGTGTTTGTTTTTTTGCTGTTGGTGTCTTTATATTTATTTATTTTTTGAAATACTCCTTTTAAATGTTTGATAAAATTAGATGCAAATATTGTAGATATGTGCTGAAAATTCCACACTGTACCACTAGTATTGTTTCTGGAATAAAGCAAATTATTATTATTATTGATTCGATAATATTTAGACAGCAACATTAATGTTTTTGTTCATAACACTAATTCATTCATTCCTTCCTTCATTCACTATAATGGATGGATATAGACCTGTAGAGCCTGATGATGATGATGATGATGATGAAGGGGTTATCGCGCAAAGAGTATTTATTCTTTTTTGTTCAGTATCCATCCATTCTTTTTAAGCCTATCAACTCGATCTTTCAAGTCTTTAGAAATTTTCCGTGGATGAAATAAACAAAAACAAACAGAAGAAAAAAAATTGAGGAAAAATACTTTCATCCCTCCCCATAGCCTGTATCTGTTTTTTATCGATTAGACAAGACAAGGAGAGAAATTTTTATTATTCCTTATCTCTCTCTCAGTTACTTACTTACTCTCTCTTATCTCTTGCTCTCTCCCACCCCCGGTGTATATGTATGTCCCTCTATGTCTTCCGCTTGAGTCGCTTAAATCTAGTTTTAAAAATTTGTTATGCCACTGGTAAATTATTGATTTTTGGTCAAGTTGAGGTAAAATAATGACCTTGAACAACAAGCTTCATTTTGATTGGTCAGTTCTTTTTTTAACAAGTCCACTGAGTCGAATTGAGTGAGGCTAGTCCCAGAAAGAGAATTTCGATTTGCAAACACAGTAAAATTTCTCTACTCAAATTCAAATCAGTTTTTATCTAACATCCCATAATTCATTCATTCATTTAAACATATATCGGATAATATTTACCGCTAAAAATTCAAAGTGACAAAAAAATAATAAAACAGCCAAAAACATGAGTTTTGGAAATTTTCTACGGCGTATATCCTTTGACAGTGAAAAAATCCATACGGATTCACCAACTTCCGAGGGAAGTGAACCGTCCTCTACTGGCATGAATGCCTTTTTTACATCACCGAGTAAAATTTTTGAAAGTGTCAATGCAAAAACTGGCCACTTGGTGTCAGATTTAAATCAAAAGTTAGATATCAGTGGGAAACTTGATTCTATTAAACAGGCTTCCGTCGGTACTTTGGAACAGGTTGTACGTGGTACGTCAGTTAGCCGTTCGGATAGTAAAGATGTATCACAGAAGGAGGAAATCAGTGATTCACCGTCGTCGTTCCACGATAAATCGAAGATGGTAGATTTCGATACACCGCAATATACGCAGAAATCAACAGCCCAATTCTCACCGGCTGATCAGTTGGAAAGATCGAAAGAAATGCAGACATCATCAACTGCTGGTAGTGGTAGTGGTAGTGGTGGTGGTGGTGGTGGATTAAGACGACAGAGTACACAGAATACACCTCGGCCGCCGAGACCCCCTCCGCCAAGTACTGCAGCGCTCAGCAGAGCTATGAGCTTGGATGAAACCAATCTTTCTGCACAAATGAAGACCGTGAGAAAGGGACAGTCCACTGACAGTCAACACTCAGATGATCCGCATAGAAAGTCAAAATCTTCCGGGAAAGATCGTATGCAATCATTGAAAGCGAATGAGGAAACACGTATTATTCAGCAACAGCCTGGTGCACCTGTCATTGAAGAAGAAGAAAACAGCTCTGCTTCAGAATATGGTGAAAATGGTGATCAGCCAATTTATAGACAAGAATCCGAGTTGCCAATCCCTGCAGATAAACAAGCTAATATTTCAAGTCACGTGAAGCTGCCATCATCAAAAAGTGCAGCGGTAAAAGACGAGGAGAAATCTTCTTCTGCCTATCACTTGACTTCAACAGAATCTAGTGCTACGAATTTGGAAGAGATTCAAGAATTTATGGAATTATATGTCTCGGCATTGATTATAGGACGGTAAGTAAATGAAATGTGTACAACATCATAATAAAGGTTTTTGTATTTCCCAATGCATGAATGAAAAACAAAACGATATTGTTGTTGCTCTTACTGACGTTTCGCTATTTAATGCCAATAGCTTTATCAAAGTATTATTAAACCGGAATTTACTAAATCTCAGCATATATATAACATACAGTTAGGGGGTGAGAAAATAGACATAGGTCAAGTTAAAGGGACATATTGAAAGTAAAATTGCAATGAAGATCACTAAACCAAATAACAAAGGTAATAGTTCGTCTGTTATGATATCAAAATAAAGTTTACTAAATTGATCATCGTTCGTCTGTCTGGGGTCATTTTTCGTTGTCAAATCGGCCAATTGGTAAAGATAACAAAACCAAGTGTAGATTGTTGGATTTGATAAGTGTGTAAAATTTTAAAGGCAGCGTGTGTTTACAAAGTGAACTTGCATATCACATTCGTGTTGATTTTGTCACTTGGTGGGGGAGGGAGGTGTTGCAACCAGGTCAGATTCGGTTTCAGTCCATTATTCCTATTCATTTCAGACAATTGGGATTCCACTTGATATTAGACGTTCTTTGTGATTTCTGAAGTTTTTCTGGATTATTTCAATATTGTCAAAATAAATTTTGTGGCCTGATTCTATAGCACGTAGACCTATGACTGATAATTTTTCAAGTTTTTGTAGTTCAACAGGATTTCTCGGTGGTTGAACAGATGCTCACTCTACGGTGTTCATTTCTTCTGATTTTGATATCTCTCTGGCGATGTTTGTCCGATGTATATTGCATCACATTCCAAGCATTTTATTTCATAGACACAATTAGATAGAGAATCTTCAGGGATTTGGTCTTTTATATGGACAAGGTTGTTTCGCAGTAGGCGTGTCTGATGTTTTGAAGAAAACTCTGATGTCGAGCTGATTGAGTACTCTTCTGATATCGTCTGTCGAGACGTCTCTGCTCTATATGGAATGACGACTGTTGATGTCCATGTTTTCGGAATGCGTTTTTGACCATACTTAATGCCTGTGTTGATTTTGTTGATGAAGTTCCATGAGTAGTTGTTTTGCTTGAGAGTTTCAGTAATGTTTGATATTTCTTCTTCCGCTTTTTCTTTCTCATCCGTTAACATCAGAGAATGTGCTCGTCTAAGAAGACTTGAAACAACTGAAATCTTTGCGCTGATGGGGTGTGATGATTTGAAGTCTAAATATTTGTTGTTGGAGTGGGTTTTCTTCCTGAATATGGATATACTAAAATGTCCGTTTTCCCTTCTCTTAACTAGGCAGGCAGTCTAGAAATGGTAGCTCACGGACGTCTGATTCTGCTTCCGAAGTGAATTGCATTCTGTAAGATACGCAATTTATTTTCTCCAGGAATGAATTGTGTAGATCTCGTTTTAGCACCACAAAAGTGTCATCAACGTATCTTGACCATATTTTAGGCGTGAGTATGCTTGAAAAGATTTTATCTTCGAATCTATTCATGAAGAGATCAGCGACTATTATGGGGGAGACTGGTGAACCCAAAGCAACAACATTTGTCTGCCTTTATAAACTCCCTTTAAATGTAAAATGTTAATTACTTTCTAGACAGAATTTCAAGCTCTTAATTATTATTTCACTGGTGTCCAGTGGATATCTTTGTGATAGCGTGGTATCTGATTCTAGTAGACTGGAAATGATATCAAGACTTTCGGTAATAGGTAATGTGTACAACATCAAACTATATGTTGACTGTCTTGATTGAATATAAAATTTACAGAAAGATTAACTTGCCGAAATATACAGGGCGAAGTCACATACTGAGTTTGTAGAATGTTGCTCAGTGTGGGTGTGTGTGTGAGTGTGTGTGAAAATCCTCACGGTTAACACAAACAATTGAACATTTCGGGATATGACCAACGACAGAAAGAGGGTTATATATTCAAAAGCAACTTTTATTTATATATATATTTTTTTCTGTAGTTTGGTTTGTAAGGGTTAGTTATGTTTTGTTTTTACGAGTTGATCACGGATTGATACAGATCATTTAGAGAAGCATTTAAAATCAGCCACACGAAGTACTGGACAGCCAGCTGTTTCATCAACCAAGTTTGGGAATCATTGAGAGTACGCAGCCACTGCACCGGGTTTCGAACCCTGGACGTTCCTCTGTTTCTGTCTGGATTCAACATACAACTTGGCACCGAAGTTCAGCAGTTCGAGTTGCCACGTTCCAAATACCACACAAAGGTAGACAAGAAGATGGATGAGTGAAGAGAATCAATCAATAGAGTTTTGACAAGTATAAGAGTGAAACAGACAGAATGAGTAATGGTAGAAAGGAATATGAAAGATTACACCAGAGACTGAATACATCTGCGTAAGCCATTGACAACGATTTTGAGCCATGTCACCTATTGTCTCCAGCCATTGATTCTTAGAGTCCCGAGGGCTCCAACCTGGAAGTCTGCATCTCCCTACCTGACTCAGTTTAACTGTCATGGATTGATGCCACGTTTTGTTTGGCCACCACTTACTCTTTTCCAACCTGCACCTATATCAGCTAGTAATGCCCGTCGGGAGGGGGAGGTGATGGTTAGGCATGCGCAGCACGTGACCTAGCCATCTCAATCTATGTAACTTTATAGCCTCTTCGACTGATTTTCCCACTTTGCCCAACACTCTACGCCTAACGTCAACATTGCTTACCTTATTATGCCACCTAACGTGAGAAAGAGATCGTAGACAGCTATGATCAAAAACAGTCAACGTTTTAATGACCTTCCGGTTACAAGGAAAGCTAGGTGACTCATATACCATTCAGCCACTCACTGGGACCCGTTTCTTCAATGGCCAGCCCACGAATTCTAACTTCTATATATATGCAAACCTAAACAATCACTGAGATGCTCACTAGTGACTTGCCCTATTCAGGTAGGTAGTTGCCTGGGGTTCTAGTGAGAAGTCGTGACCAGTAGGGTGCAGCAGGTCGGGCGTGAGGAGAAATACTCGCCGAAGACATTGGCCAGCGGTCGCGCTATGTCGTGAATTGGCAGAAGTTAGAATTCATGGACCATTGAATTGGGTCTCAGTGGCTTAATGGTATACGAGCTCGCTGGCCTTGAAACCAGAAGGTCGTG